TTTCTGATTTTCTATTTTAGAATCCTGGACCTCAATTTCATTGTGTATCTTGTGTCCTCATACACGACTTAATGTGAAAGTATAGCTAAATTCACCCACATTCCAAACAAGTCAGCATATTATTAGGGAACATGTGCATTTTCTTTTTATTAAACTTTGAAATTTAATTAGCATATCTCAGGAGAATGCAGTTGACATTGTTGTCAATAATATATAGTAATTGATCCAAAAGGACCTTGTCCAAATTTGTTCTAATTGTATAACAGGGTGAGAAGGTGAAAGTCTTTGCCAGAGAGCTCAAGTCCCATTTCTTTTTCAGGGAAGGACAGAATTTAGTTTGAACACCAATGGTTTACCTATCTATATACACACACACATGAATTTATTCCATTTTAAATTCGTATTTATAAAAATAACACTGTTAGAGTTCTTTCACCTTAACTTCATCTGATGCTCTGATTTACATCTTATTCTACCTCTACAGTGATAGGCAATCTTTTTTTTTTTTTTTAAGATTTATTTATTTATTTGTACAGAACTGGGGTACAGGTCAAAGATGTGGAGGGTGAGAGGATTCACCAGAGGCAGAGTGGGGAGCAGAACAGGCAGATCCACGAAGTACACTGCTGAGGGGAGCAGCGGGCAGGTCAGGAGAGGTCTGCCACGCCATGTGGTCACCTCTGGGGCAGGCGGGGATCGAACTCATGCAGAAGTGGCTTTAGCTTCTTAGTGTAGTGCTTTAACCTGCTACGCCACCAGGGAGGGCCAGATAGACAATCTTTTTTTTAAAAAAATATTTTATTTATTTACGCATACAGAAATGGGGTATAGGCCAGAGGTGCAGGGGCGGTGAGAGGATTCACCAGAAGAAACACAGTGGGGAGCAGAACAGGCAGACTGAAGAAATACACTGCTGAGAGGAGCAGTGGGTGAGACAGGAGAGGTCTGCTGTGTCATGTGGGTCACCTGTGGGCAGGAATTGAACTTGCACTGAGGTGCCACTGCCATGACTTGGCTTGGCTTGGCAGTGCGTGCTCCAACCCACTGCGTCCCCAGGAAGGGCCCGTGATAGGCAATATTTGAGATATTTCCTCATCTTCTCCTCTTCCATCATTGTATCCTATCCTTACTAGTAGCAAAACCAGAAACATTACAAGAAAAGGTAAACACAGACTAATATCACTCATGATGAGCAAGTCCTCATTAAAATGTTAATAAATTATATCCAACAAAATATAAAAAGAGCAATATATTAGGACAATTGGAATTTCCACCTAGGGATGCAAGGCTGGTTGAACATTCAGTATCAGTGGATACAGTTCACCGTTTTAAAAGGCCAAAATAGTGGCCCTTCCTGGTGGCGCAGTGGGTTAAAGCACAGCACTAAAAAGCTTAAGCCACTTCCTCATGAGTTCGATCCTCACCTGCCCCGGAGGAGACCACATGGCGCGGCAGACCTCTCCTGACCCGCACGCTGCTCCCCTCAGCAGTGTACTTCGTCGATCTGCCTGTTCTGCTCCCCACTCTGTCCCTGGTGAATCTTTTCACCAGGGACAGCATCTCTGGCCTGTACCCCAGTTCTGTTTGAATAAAATAAATAAATCTTAAAAAGAAAAGGCCAAAATAGGAAGGTCATTTGACTATTATATGCAATAAGTACATAAAACAAATTTAACAGTCTTTCATGATAGAAATTCTTAGCAAATTAAAAATAGAAAGGCATAGAAAGGCAATTCTTCAACCTGATAAAGGACATCTATGAAAAATACTTAAGTAATATTATTCTTAATTGCTAGACACTGGAAGCTTTCCCCAAAGATTGGGAACAAGGTAAGGATCTGCTTTTACTACTCTGTCAGTGAAACAAAAGCACAAATACATCAAAGTCACACGTGTTGCAAAAAGAATAAACCTGTCTATATTTGCAGATGACATAATTATCTATATAGAAAGTTTAAAAAAAATCTATAAAAAGGCATGTAAAAGTAAAATGTGAATATAATAAGGTCACAGGATCCAAGGTCAATATGTAAAGTCACTTATATTCCTATATAACTAGCAATGAGCTATAGTAGATCATGAAAACCAGGATTTTCATTATGGGAGAAAAAAGTTAGAGAATAGCAAGAACACCATGGTACTGGTCTGGAGTCACCTATAATAATACGAAGCCACTTATTTAACATGCATGTTGATAAATAGATATAGTAGAAAATTCACATAGAGAGTATATATACATGCAAATCCCAGCTCTGTCCACTGCGAGGGCCAAGAAGCAGTGACCCCTTCCATAATAAACACAGGTAGCTCCACATCTTGATCTCTAGATACCATGCTCCAATAAAAGGAAACACGTGTTCTTGGAATAGGCTTTTTTCTAGGATTGCATCAGTGAAAATGTAAAATGAACCTGGAGCATTTCACAGTGCCAGAATGTGAAGAAGTGGTTTTTAAAAAAGGAAGAAAGAGGCCCTCACTGGTGGCGCAGTGGGTTAAAGCACAGCACTGAGAAGCTAAAGCCACTTCCGCTTGAGTTTGATTCCTGCCTGCCCTGGAGATGACCACATGGTGTGGCAGATCTCTCCTGACCTGCCCGCTGCTCCCCTCAGCAGTATACTTCGTGGATCTGCCTGTTCTGCTCCCCACTCTGTCTCTGGTGAAGCTTCTCGCCGCCCCTAAGCCGCTGGCCTGTACCCCAGTTCTGTATGCACAAATAAATCTTTAAAAAAACAAAAAGGAAGAAAGAATAAGGGCAAATCAACCTTAAAGCCAATCTATAAGGTTTTCTGATGGCCTAAACAGGAGAATCTGTGTAACAAAAATAAAGCATGATAGTATTGTATTATTCTCCAACAAATAAAGTGAAAATCTCTAAATGTACAGGAATATAAATACATGATGAAACAGATGAATACATGAGGCAGAAGCGACAATTCAAATTAATAAATAGAGAAAGAATGAGGAGAATAGACAATCACCATAAGAACACCACAGAAATAGTTGCCTCAGACAAGATCCATGAGGAAGAACAAATAAGTGGTTGAAACTTTAAGAGAAATGGGTATCTACATTGCCTCAAGTATCTTCCTTAAAAAAAAAAAAGTTCTCATTTATGTGGTGGTTTTAACACGTGCCTGCAATACTCTTCCTTGAACATGGGCTTGGCTTAGTGATTTATTTCTAATGAAGAGAGAAAATAAGGAATTTTCTTGAAGAAACCTCACCGATATTATCTCAATCAAATGGTGGTTAGCATCACTACCTGTTAACGCCCCTACACTGCTGTAAGATCCTTTCTGTGATTTGCCTTCCAAGTATCTATAACTCAATCCACCCCTAGAAAGCAACACACAAACTCGAGTTGATGGACATACTACACAACATCTAACCAGTACTGTTCAAGCATGTCGATTCTTGGAACATAAAAACACCCGGGGAATTATCATACAGCAGAGAACACTAAGAAGAGACAACTGCATTTAACATGATGTCCCAGATAGGATCCCAGAACAGACAAGGGGCAGCAGTGGAAAGACTAAAGTAACCTCAACTAATTTTGTATCTTATTTAACAGTATTGTAGTGAAGCTAATTTCTTAGTTTTGGTCATGATTATGTAAGATATTAACTTTAGGGGAAGCTGGATAAAGGTATATGGAACATTTCTTGATGTTTTCGTTTTCAAATTTTTCAAACTCTAAAGTAATTTCAAAATAGAAAATTATAAAAAAGAATAAGAGCAATATGGACTACTAATGAGGTCAGTTCTGTTCCGTCATGGTCAGAAGTTAGTAGTTATTGTCTAAAATAGATAAACCAAATCATAGTATTTTATCTATCTATTTTATTGGGGTAACAATTTGAAGTGGTTGCTTCTGGGGCACAGGACTGAAGTGGGGGGGCCAGTGGACCTGCTTTTTATGGTTGATCTGTCTACATCAGCAGCTTTTAAAAGAGACCAAAACCCTTCCAAAAGTGGTACAGAGATTCCTCTAAATCACTTACTTTTATACAACCATTGTACAGTGATACAAGCCCATGCATTTGCCCTTGCTAGATTATTGACAGAACTTGCAATATACAGATTAACTAGTAGAAACTATTCATATGCAGATTTCTTTGTTGTTCCACTATGGGCCTTGAGGAGACTCATTCCAATCACGATTTTCCATTAAATCCATGTGGTTATCATCTCTTCTTACTTTCTTCCAGTCTGGCATTTACTCAAACTTTCTTCATCTTTCATGGTTTTTGAAGAGAACTGGCTATTTACTTTGTAGAATAGTTCAGAATTTGGGTTTTTCTGAATTTGGGTTTGTCTGATGTTTTATACCTTTCTGATTGTGTGTGCCTTGCTCTAGATTTAATTACCTAACCTACATAACACAATTTTTTTTTCAATGAACATTGTCTGGATGCTCTTTTCTGATGTCAGAATGTTCCTCTGCTAGGAATTTGTTTTTATATATTCTTTCCTAAGACACTGAATATTGACTTCGTTCTTTTCTGGTTTTAACTTTGCTGTAGATAAAGAAAAATCCCAATTTCTACCCCTTCTTTAAATTCAAGCTAACAGCCAAGAAACAGATTTCCTCTGGCCCTGAAAAGAGCCCAACCACAGAGACAGGAACATCCAGCTTGGGTCCATCAGGGTATCTGGGGAAGGAGGTGTGGTTGACACAGGGAAAATCTCCAAATCAAAGGTTCTGGCCCCTGGCTGTTTCTCTTGCCTCCCCCCCAACCCCCACATTTTCTCCTGTATCATGAGCACTTTTCTCTGCCTGCACAGTGACTGCCTTTGGCCCAATCCTGGCTTCTCTTTCCCTTCGCACAGAGAGTGGAGAAGGTCAGCATCTCCAAATGCATTCTGCCTTTTGAAGCTCTGAGAGCCTCTTTGCACGAGCATAAATCAAAGGCTCATCAGAAAAATCCTGCTGTCATCATGTCATAGACAGGAGTTTATTCTTTTAATAGCTTTATTCTTTTCCCATTAAGAAAGGTATTGTTTCAGGGCACTCATTCCATAGCGTATATTAGCCATTTCATTTTTCATAGAGGGAAAGAAAGACCTCTCCATGCATGATTAATACGGCAGTTGAATACCAGAAGAACCGACCACGTGCTGGCTTTGGGCCATCCATCAGCAGCTCACCATCTGTAACCAGCACAGCGAGTCACCACGAACATCACGAACAAATCATGGCTGGGCCTGTTGGAGCAGTTACAGGCCTTGTGTGAGCAGATCAAGCCTTCTCCCCCGGGACTTGAACATGAGGCTGACCTAAAAAGTCACGAAAGCCACAGATTAAAAAAAAAGAAGAAGAACCACAGATTTTTGTCTTTTAAGCATTTGTAGTAGGCTCTTGCCAACGAAAGTTCAAAGTTCTCTCCCTCTTAAAGGAGATCAGAAAGAGTGAGGTTCACATCTAGAGAGAGGGACCAGGCACTACTTGAATGACGCCACTGGCAGAATCAGAAGCGGCCTACAGACATACTTTTTTTCTTCTCTGGGTCTTAACACTGAAGTCTCACTGGACTGGCCAGTGTAAACACTCATCAGATGCTCAGGCCTAGTGGGAACAGGCTCAGGCCTGTGTACTGGAGTGAGGAGATGGTTTGCGTCCTAGTTCTACAGCTTAGTGTTTGCCATGGTTGAACTACTTCAGCGCTTTCCTGTTTGCTCCAGGATTTTAACATCTGTGCCCAGGGCCACTGTGAGGGAGCAGAGGTCGCCACCTAATGCACAGTAGGTGCTGCGGGCTTGGGTTTCTCAACCTCCCCTCTTCTCTCCTCTCCAAAGAGAACAAGTTGTCTCGGGCAGGACTAACTGATCAAGACAACTTTTCTGGAAGTGAGTTGAAGGGCAGGTCCTTTAGAGGAACATGAATAGCTTTATAAATTGCCTTCAAAAGTTGCACCAAATCCTTCAGTCAGTTTTAAAGGCACTGTTTACCGCTGCATATGGCAGTCATTATTTGGAATAATAAACCCTCTGAGAATCTGAACATTCATGGGCCAACAGATGGGTCAACCTGCTTCGCAATTTAACAAAGTAATTTATTTCAATCACCGGGACTGGGTATGTGAAGATTACTAATTCAGTTCACAAGCAAAAGGAGCAAACACCACTTCGTTGTGCAATTGTGCAGCCATTATGGAAATGCACACCTGTTCAATTGGTTTGGAGACAGTCTTCATTTCGATTAGTGTTTCCTCTTCTTCGGAGGTGTGTATTAAATTGCTATGGCTTCTTTTGCTGAAACTCATGTGCTAATTGATGTCAGGATGAAATAAAGATCTCAGGGAAAATTTATACTGCAAGATAGATAAAATTAAGGTCATCAAAGTCAGCTTTGGGAAATAAAGCAGGTGTATCAGAAGTGTATTCTTACAATAATTGGCCAATCTGCTGCTCTTTCTTCTTGAAGCGATCTGCTCAGTGCTTGTGGGGGTGGAAGAAAGTCAGGGTCATTGTCCTTCATTTTCAGATCTGCTGAAATCCCCTGCATCTTGAATTCTTTTCACTCCATCCATCTTCACTCAAGGCCCAATGGGAGAAAGACATAAAAGGAAGTCAGAGAGCTCCTTGGGAGAAGTTCTTATGTGTGTAAGTAGGAGATTCCAGGTGTTAAGGAGAACTGGGGTGACATTTCCCTCTCTGGCACCCCATCACTGAGCTAGACAGAACTTCAGTGGTAATGTCAGGAAGCATCACCTAGAATGTGGCACGTGATTTGCATACAAACTGCCACACGTTAAGAAAGGTTACTAATGCCATAGATGTTCCCTTACTTTTTGAAAGAAAATACTTTTCTCTCTTCTTTCTCTACTTGGATATATATAGAAAGCACTTCAATAAAGAAGATTTCCCTCTTTACCATCTCTTCCCAATTACCTTTTTTGAGATGCCTTTTCTCTAGCAGAGGTCAAGCCCACTTCCACCTCCCCCAGAGAGAACACTGTTCCATTTCTTAGGTAGTGAGAAGTACATGGGGCTGCAGCAATTAAGAGTCCAGGGTACAGAGTGTTAATGTTGGAGGTAAATGCAGACTATGAAGGGATCTATAGTCAGAGCTTCAAAGACACTTTTTTTTAAAAAAAAAATCTCCCTACATATTAGGACAGTGTATAAATATCCCAGTAAAGTTGCAAAATTATAGTGTATTTTGAAAGTGTGCATTTATCAAATTTTCAGCACCAGCCTGAATTTGAGCACTATTTGTATGAACTCATCTGGAGGTGATATCATAAATGTCAGTTTCAGAAATGTCAGGAGTCCAAGGTGTGGGCCAAGTGACGCAAAATGTCTCCAGTCTAATTTCTCATGTTCCCTCTATCATCACCAGAGCTTCCTCTGAAGTTCCTTTCCCCGTGAATGGCATCCCCGCACTGTCACTCCCTTACTCTCCCTCCACGCTGATGCTTCCTTAAAATCTAGAAATCCAGATGAGCGAGAGCTGCCCCCTGCATTACTGCTCTGTCTCTCCTCTGTCATTGGCCTCAGGATCCTGTTGCCACTTTCCTGCATTGCTCTCTTCCTACTGCTTCTCATCACAAACAGAACCTCCATCCGCTTGGTAGTTTGGGATTCCCAGCACCCAGACCAGCATCCTGCCCAGCTCCCCATCGTCCACGGAATTAAATCGACACTTTCCAGTCTGGGAATTACCTTCCCTCCACCACCCACTGCCTTCCTGGCTCTCAGCTGTCCCCTCACACACTCTGAGCACAAAATAAACAAGAATACTAGCTACTCCTTCAAAAGCATCTTTGCTTTGCCACAGCTGAGCCTTTAAGCATACTGTCCCTCAGCCTGCAGTGACATCCCTGGATTTCTTCTTGTTGAACCTCTACCCTGCCTTTAAAACCACTTCAGCCACATCAGGGAATCTTCTTTCTTTGCATAGCTCCCTTTCAGTCCACCTTGAGCTAGGTATCTGCTTCTCTCCGGAACACTAGTAGCGTTTTGATTCCTTTCATGTCTTACGGAACTGACTTTTTCTAATTTGCATTCAATTCCCTTCCACAAATATTTAGTTAGCCTTTCCAAGGAGTGAGAGACTAGATTATGTGCCTCTAGATTAAATGATATTTTAGGGCAGGTTTCCTCCTGGAGGTTATGGTCTAATGGGTGCACGTGACAGCTGCTCCCTGAAGCTGGGAAGGAAGAACCAGAACCCAGAGATGGCTCTTGGCTTTTGAAATTTGAATTCTCTTTTCTAGATGGAGACGCTCCTAACCCTGCATTTGGTTTAGGCCTGAGTATTGTGTTGACATGTCACACTTAAGCCTTGAAGAGTTTTGTTTTTTTTTAAGAGTAGATAAATCTTACGTTTTCATAACCACCCCTCATGGAAAGCTAGCAACCTTAGAAGAAATCTTGGATTCTTTTTCTAGAGTTCACATTGGTTAACAAGCTGTCTCCACATGGGATAATTACCCCAATTCACAATTTTACAAATAAGGGTATGGCTTTGCAGTGGAGATCAGGAAAGAATGTCTAAAGTCAAGTGGTTTTCCTGTACTTTTTGTCACCTCTGATGTCTCCCCAGAACCTTTGGCATAGCACTTTACATAGAACCCCTGTGGGGGCTTGGGAGTGAATATTGGGCACTGAGCACACTGGAACTTGGGGGGGAAATTGTAAAGTGCTGATTGGGATCTAAGTCTGGCTAGCAAGTTGTTGAACCCCTTTCTTTTCCTTCCTGGGACGCTGCTCCCTTGTGAGGTGGGCCAGGTGATTGAGTTCTGACCCACAAATATGAACAGGCCTAACATCAGCACAGTGCTGGGCTCCAGGCTCATTTTCCTGGCAAAGCTCCCACTGCAGATGCAGCAAGACACTGAGCAGTGAGGGTTGCTTGTCGCCTGCTGGCTTCCTACAGCCACTTTGGACTGTCAGGTGAACAAGAAAACAATTCTACTATTTAAGCCACTGGGATTTGGGGCTTATTTGTGAGAGCAACTAGCATAGCCCTAACTAGTAGAATTCACTCTGCAGTGTGCCCAGAAAAGCGAGGCCAAAGCAGCACAATCTTCTGCAGGGCTCTCTGGAAAACCAGATTCACCTTGTGGTAGGTTGGTGCTTTGTCTTTGAGTGCCCTCAGTGGGCCTTTGGAAATTACTACCTTTAGATTTATTCAATAGTATGTTTGAAGTTGTTCTGCATTAAATTAAAAAATCAGTAGTTTTAAGGTGGATACAAATACCTAATAGTTTTAGCGACTGAAGGAAAAATTTCCAGATGTTTCACAAAGCACTAAAATACTGTATATTGTTTTCTTTTTCAATGGGAAATTATTCACAGTGCAATAAAAAGTTGTTTTTTCAGTAAACAGATTATGTTTCAGTCTGCGGTGTGAACACTTAAATGGAACGATGCAATACGCCACTTTTTAAAAGAGGGTTTTAAACATGTCAGTACAAACCTTTCACTCTTCTGTCCCATAAATTCAACTTTTTAAAATGAAATCAACCTGAGCCCTGCGAAAGCTCATACTACTATATCAAAACCAGTGAAATTTGCCTGTTTATTGCCACCTATGGAATGTGGCAAAGAAACATTCTTTTCACATGGGACAATTTCTTCAACTTTACACCAAGTGAAATTTAATTGCTTTCACTTCCTGGAATCATTAGGCATTAGTCCTGCAGGGGGCGGAGCCAAAGGAGAGGCTGAAAATAAGCCTGTGTTTAATACATTTCACCTTGGAATATTATCCTTCTTCCCTCTACTACTGCTGATGCAGCAGTATTCAGCCTGGGAAGCCGCTTTAGAAAAATTTGAAGGGGAAGAAAATTGTAAAGGAAAAAGAAGTCACAGGTGCCCCATTGGGAGGACACAGCTCAGGTGAACGAACACTCCATGGATAACTCAAGCCTCAGTCTTTTCTATCCGCCAGATAATGGGAATTTCTGATGCTTCCAAGTTCATTTCTTGGTATGTTTTTCCTTCACAGAAAAGTAGTAAATGCAGTCCCAGGGAAGCAGAAAGAAAACCGCAGCATTGTCCAAAACAAGTGTTGTTTCACTTTTCAAAAGGAAGCATGAATCTCTTTATATTTAGTTCTGTATCATATATAAAAGCTCCTTCCAGAGTGCTTGAAGGATTATGGTAATTACTTGCCAGAGAGGATGTAAAATTAAAACCCTTGTTAAAGTCACTGCTGGAAATGGAGATGAACCAACAATCAACATCAGGCAATGTGAGACACAGGCAAAGTGGGAGCAGCAGAGAAAGCACCCACTTTGTAAAGCAAGGGATCCCCATGTGACATGCTGGACACGTCCTGTTTCCCTTTTTACCAGAATCACCCATCATATTCCACAAAAGCTCATTGTCATCATAAGACAGGATTCTGTTAATGGCAGGCTGAGACTTGAAGAACTCCTTGAGGGGCCCTGTGGGTGACACAGAGGAAAATGGACAAAGAAGGTCCATAGCATGAGTTTCCTGAAGAGAACAGCTCTTCCCTATCTAGCAAGAGCGGTAATTTCTCCAAGGGCTGCAATTCCATTGGTACACGTGTTGACTCCACAGCTCAGGAGGTTAGATGCTGAGCATCATAGAATTTTACTTCAAAATTAAATCTTAATTTAAAAAAAAGAGAGAGAGAAACATTTTTTCCCTAATGGATGGCTCCTGAAGTCTGTGTGTTGATTTAAAAGCTGAAGAAAATAATTATTTTTCACGAAAACATCATAAAATTTGGATAATTTTTGGTGATGACCTGAACTTTCAGTGTGCTTTGAAGGTATATTTTCTAGGAATAGCAGATATTCCATCTGACTGTTCACTAGCTTGATTTCAAGTGTATAAATATTCCCACCAGAGATTTCGCCTCCCTCTGAACTGCTGACCCACTTAGGGAAGGGACAAGTCAAAAAATCCTTGGCCTCTTCCCTCTCTCTCTCCTTTATATTCAGAAGATTGTGAAATTTCCCCTCTGAAATGTCCCTTGATATTCACTTGACTATATCTCACCCTAATGTCAAGTTCGGTTATCAAGAACTTTCTTACACACAAAAAAAGTCTTTCTGAGGGCATGTATAGGTTCTCTTCCAGACACTGAGAAGTTACACTAGCAGATCTCTGCATTTATGAGGCTTAGCGGGGAGAGACACATTAAAAAACAGATCACCTCAATAAGCAATGGCCTGTCATACAGTCATATGGTCAGTGTGACAGGGGCCTACAGAGGCTGTGTGAACAGAGCAGACATGTACAAGCTCTCCCTGGGGGACTGACTTCTACTGAGGTATGAAGGGTGAGCAGGATTTGGTTAGACCATTTTGGGCACAGCCTCAGTTCAGGAGGCTAGAGATGGGCAGTACGCAGGAACGTAGCTGGAGGAGGTGGGTGAGTGGAGCAGGGGCAGGTGGGTGGGTGCCCTGCAGGCAGGCAGATGGAATGGAGTGATAAAGTTGGGGGAAGGCACTCCCAGCATTAGGGCAAGGGGCTAGGAATGGACTTGGACAAATAAAAGTTGCTCATGAAGATCTTAACCAAAAACATTTCTCCCCTGGGCTTATCTACTCTTGATGGGGCCATAGGCACAGCTTTGTGAGCAGGGGTGTAGAGTGTGTGGGAGGGGGAGTGCTGTATATTATGGCCTAAGAACCATGGGAAGCTACCAGTGTTTGAAATAGTTGAGCAACTTATATTTATCAAGCACTATCAACTAAACTGCTGCCTTATTCCAACAGAGTGAGTAGAAGCTCCCAATATTGAAGACTTCGATGAGGCTTGGTAAAGAGCATTTGTCACGTGTGTGTGTGTGTGTGTGTGTGTGTGTGTGTGTGTGTGTGTGTGGCATCCAAGGCAACTCTTAGAAACTTTACAGGAGGGAGGGCCTAGTTCAACATGAAGACATTAGGTTTGCCTACTTTTTGCTCCAATGCACAGACACTAGAGAGAACTGAATTTAGTATTATTGTTTGACTTATGGCTATTTTGAACCAATTAATTTTTGCAGCAACTTCAAGCACAGTCTTCTTCAAAGAAACCCATGGTGAGAGGAGCAGAAGCTACCACTGACACACTAGTCTTTGATATGGAGATACAGTAGGCAGACATGAATTTTCCCAGATTAAAAACAAATGTGTAATGGAAGTTGAAATATAAGGAACTTCTCCATTTATCTTTTTGACTAAAGGGTAGAAAAAAGCATCATATACATTGTAGATCATGTGAGTTTTAGGCCGATGATTTGAAACATTTTTATAATAATTCAGTGGCTCTTTTTGAATATCCAGATGTTAATCATGGTTCTCTGTTCTCTGCTCTGTGATTAGGGATGACTCTGCCAAGGAAAAATGAGGCCTTTTCTCTTGGGGAAAGTTGAGTTACTTCTGTTATTTTCCCAGGCTTCCTGGGGAAGTCTATCAACATATGAATAAAGGGTGGGAACAGGAGTCTGGCTGGTCACCATGGAATTATCAGCCTTGTTTGGAGTTCAACCTTTATTATTTATACACTCAGCTGGAAATGTAACACGTGTAGTAACTTCTCAATGATTTTACTTCATGAAATCCCACAGTCCTTATAGATTTTGGGGTTGAAATGTCTACCCTGCTTTCATAAGTTTCTGTTGTCACAGCTTTGTGAAGGCCACGGCTTTTGCCCCAATTAAGTAATTATATGAATAACACCTGGGGATTCCCCTTTTGATTACATTTTTAATTTGAGGAGACAGTATCATTGTTTTTAAAGAAAAGAGTCATTTAAAAACCACAAGAACCTTCCAGAGAGGCTCAGTAACCTGCTTGGATCATTTTGCTTCTTTGTTCTATGCCTGACAGGCCGCCTGCTATCATTATTATTTAGTATTGACGGTGCCATGCCAAGAGCTGTCTTAGGTCTAGAATTCCTTTCAGAATAATTATAATTAAGCATTAGAACACTCCATTTGTTCTTTGATTATTTTTATAGTCTTCATTTATATTTAGGAGTGAAAGCATTTCTGGTATAATACTTAAAAATGAAGATACATCTGCAATGACCTCTTCCTATATTTACTATTCTGTCAACAAGCCTTTAGAGAGGGTTTCTTTAATGATTTGTTGTTTAGATTAGAGCTTTCTTTAGGCAACAAAGAAAACTGGCTCTCTGAGAAATGAAAAGACCATTCCT